AGAGAGAGAGAGAGAGAGAGAGAGAGAGAGAGAGAGAGAGAGAGAGAGAATCTTTTTTGTAGATGAACACAACACAATGCCTTTATTTTTATGTGGTGCTGAGAATCAAACCCGGGTCCCACATGTGCTAGGTGAGCGCTCTACTGCTGAGCCACAATCCTAGCCCAACAATTCTTAAGTAACTAGTTCAGGAGCAATTAGATCTTGGGCATATTGAACCCTCCACCAGCCCTCACAACACACCTATCTTTGAAATCCCCAAGAAAAATGGGAAATATAGGATACTTCAAGATTTAAGACCAATAAATAAACATATAAAAAGGATAGGTTCATTTCAATCAGGTATTCCTCATCCAGCCAGCATCCCAAGCAACTCTTTTATTGTTGCCATAGACCTCAAGGATTGCTTCTTTTCCATACCTATAGCACATCAGGACATATCCTTTTTTTGCATTTATGGTGTGGGAACCTAACACCATGATACCTGCCTGGAGATTTCACTGGATAATCCTCCCACAAGGGATGAAAAATAGCCCTCCAATAGTCAGCTCTTTGTTTCTCATATGACCAGGCCTCTTACACAGCATTGCCTGGTCATATATTATATTGATAACATTTTACTTGCTCATGCAGATTCTGATAAATTGCAAGTCTGCCTTAAGAAGTTGATGTCTAACCTTGACACTTTGGGCCTTCACATAACCACTGATAAAGTGCAACATTCTGCCCCACATGAGTTTTGGGCTACAGAATTGCTGCAAGAATACAACCCCTTAGAACTAATCTGACTATTAGACCTCAGTACTCACTTAATGAGTTGCAACAGTTATGTTGTCAAATCAACCGGCTCAAGCCTTTCCTTTGTTTGCCTCCAGATGCACTAATGCCTCTGTTTGACTTGCTTAAAAAAGTGAAGGATCCTTCCTCCAAGATAAGGCTCACTCCTCAAGAAGAGACAACTGTTCAAGTGATCAATGACAGTCTCTCAAGGTTAGAGACCCATAGATATGACCAGTCAAAACCCCTGTTAGGAATAATATGACTATTATGACTTCTGGAGCACCACTTGGCATTATATGGCAAGCCCAGGGACCTCTATACTGGGTGCATCTGGCCTGGAGTGAATGTCATAAAATCACAGGTAGGCTAGAAAGTATAATTCTTGTGGGGCTAAAAGTAAGATATTATTGTAACAAGATTTTTCACACAGAGCCAGACACCTTGGTGTTACCATTAACACACACAGAGGTCTCAACACTCCTACAGAATAATACTCTGTTTCAGACTTTACTGTCTGACTTTCCTGGACAAATTGATAATCACTTCCCTCCTGATAAGCTGCTCCAAACACTGCAAATGCTCGAGATTACAACTCCTATGCATGAATTCCCTGCATCTCAGCCCATACCTTTAGCACCAAGTGTGTTTACCGATGCAAACAAACACACCTTTGGTGTTATCCTGAAAATTCCCAATAAACATGACATCGCCCATATGGAGCACCACTCAGGATCAGTGCAACTGGGAGAACTTAGGGCAATAATACAGGCATTCCTTATGAGTGCAGACATTGCCATCAATATTTTTTCAGATAGTAAGTACTCTGTCCAGATGGCAAAAGCAATTCCCTGTGCAATTTTTAGACCCACAGGTAAGCCTATTGATCAGGCTCTCCAGACCCTTAAGGATATTACAGAAAACGGGAAACATCCATGGTTCATTTCACATGTGAGATCCCATACTGGATTGCCTGGATTCATTGCTACAGGCAACTCTCAAGTGGACAAACTTATCTCCAATGGGTCTAACGATGCTGTACTACAGGAAACGGACACATTTTTTTCCTGCTGTCCTGTGTCTTTGGACTTGCTGGAGCAAGCCCGCATCCTCCACACTAAGTTTCACATGTCTGCAAATAATTTGAAGGCCTTGTTTCCTGACCTTACTATGACACAATGCAAGCATCTAGTCCGGGCTTGCAAGAATTGTGCCCCTTTGGTACCACTTGGACCTCTGCAACTACAAGGAATAAACCCCCAAGGCTTCTCCCCTAATAAACTTTGCCAAATGGATGTCACTCACATCCCCTTCTTTGGTAAGCTCAAGTTTGTCCATGTTATCATGGACACTTACTCCAAATGTATAAATGCTATGGCACAGTCAGGAGAGAAAGCTTCAAATGCCATAAAGACAATGAAAGCAGCAATGTTAATGCTTGGGGTGTCTTGGTCTTTAAAAACAGACAACGGACCAGCCTATACCTCACAGGAGTTTCAAAATCTCCTGGTGTTCTGGAATATTACTCACTCAACAGGCATTCCTTATAACCCACAAGGGCAAGGTATAGTGGAAAGGACTAACTGGACTCTTAAGGAAACATTGCAGAAACAAAAGAATGCTAATACATGTCTAGATCCTCACCTTGCATTGACGCATGCTCTCTTTGCCCTCAATTTTCTTACCTTTGACTCAAATGGGATAAGCTCTGCATATAAGCACTGGGGCTCCTTTCTCTCCCTGACTCCAGTCCCCCTGGTATGGTGGAAGGATCCACTCACTAATGCATGGAAAGGGCCACACCCTTTGATAACCCAGGGTAGAGGCTTCACCTGTGTTTTTCCAGAGGATGCCTTTCACCCCGTATGGGTACCAGCAAGAAATGTCACACCAACCACCGACAGGCAGGCCTCCTCGGAAACTGAGCCAAAAGGAGAAGAGATCATCATGACCCCCCCACTGGAGGAATCACAAGATAACCTGGGGTGATATCAAAGCCCTATCAGATCAACCTCAGACCATGTCACCTACTGGATACCAGAGTCCTGGTACTCTCTTCTTGCTTATGTGTGCAATTATAACCTGCAACTTACAGGTAAGTGCACAACAGGTAAGTATGGAGGAAGAAAGGCCTCTGCCTAATGGCCTGATAACTCAAGGCTCTATGCTGACCTGTCCAAGGAACACGGACACACATCAAAGTATGCCCCATGAGGGAAAAATTGCTTTGCAGATAGCTATCACTCATGAACAGCTGTCTGCAGGACAATTCTCCTCTAGCAGAGAGCCTCCAGCACCATCTAGTGGCAAAAACCCTTCAGTGAGCAAAATACTAATGCCACTGTAATTAAAAAAACCATGAGAGCAATCCACGCTCAATTAATCGTGATCAGAATGTTGTACATACTTCTCTCTCAAAACTTGCAGAATGCATCCCAAGGACAAAACTCAGGAGGACAACAGGAGTCCCCCGGATCAACATCATCATAAGGCTCGCGGTCCTCACAGCCACAACTGCAACTGCCGCTCTCCTCACCCTACTAGAAGGACCACACCCAACCGATTGGAAACAACTTATGCTGTTGCTGGGACTTTAATTGGACTTTCCCCTTCTTTTGCATCAATGCAGAAAAGGACCCCCTTTGTGCATCATTTTGTCATTCAGCCCGCAAGTACATGATTGGTGGGTGGGAGCTCCATCTCCCAGGATTCTTTTATTCTTTTACCTGTTGGTTTGGATGATACTGATATTGCCTTTCTTGTTTGCTACTAATGTTTCCTCGCAATGCCCAGTTACATCTGACCCAAAAGCAAGGCACCCTTGGAATATGTCACTCTCATTTGATCATTCATGGGGCTTTACTATATTAAGGGATGTATCTAGGGCACAGAGGTTGTGTCAGTCTACAATTTACCTTCACAATGATATTCTTTGGGAGCCAGGAATAGGAGGCATTATAGGTTTTCAACCACTCTCCTTAGAAGGAGAAGCAAAAGTAGTCTCAGTCAGTGATCTGCCTAGTGGCATGACCATGCCTCCTCATGGTAGAGACTCATGTTATTGGCCCCAACCCTTTCTGCAGAGATGTCCATGGAAAAAATTTAAGGACATCAATGAAGGTATACCTCTAAGAGCTGTATCTTGGAAAGACTGTCTCTCCTTTTCCAGACCCTATTTCATTTCTGATGAGCTTATTTTAGTTGGTCCAGACCCTATAAAAAAGGTGGATGGAGAATGGAATTTTTAACAGAAACAAATACATTAATATTTAAATATCATACAGATTGGATAATAAATGCTCAAAATACAAAAGAAAGACAGTCAGGAGACATTTTGCAATTAGGCAAACAATTGTTATGTGGTGCTTACAAATGTATAGATATCAGTCCTATTGTCACCATGGATGCCATTTGGTTTAAGGGTTCTTTTGAAAAACCCTCAGCTAAACGTGCTACTAAGGGCCATGTATGTGTTAAGCCACCCTTCTTCTTTGTAACTTCCACTCAAAAATCACAAAAATGGTTGTCTTAATTGTGATGATTCCCAATGTGAGTTAACCAATTGTTGGAATTCTTCTGTTAAGACAAAAGAATTCTGTTGGAAACCATAACATAAGAATACCCCCCATGTTATGGTTTCCAACAGAGGATGACTCCTCCATTCAAGAGGTTCACTTTACAAAAGATATTTCCATTCCCAGAGTTAGGCAAGATTTTGGGATTACTGCTGCCATTGTAGCTGCTTCCCTTGTTGCAGTCGCTGCAGCTACCACTGCTGGTGGAACTTTGACCCAGTCCACACCAAATGCTGCCAGATAGTACAGTGCTCAACTAAAGCCCTGACACACAGGAGTGACTAAACGTGCACTTGCAAGGAGGTATCTTAATGTTACAACAACAGATTGACCTTACTGATGAAAAAATTGATGTGCTTCAATTGAATGTTAGAATACCCTGCAGTCCTCAATTTCTGTATGTTTGTCGAACCCCTGTCTCAGTAAGAAGTGTAACAGAAGCTCGGCTTGAACTAGCAAATAGACTTAAGGGACCTTGGGATATGACTTTTAGAAATTTCACTATGATGCTGCATGCTCAGATTCTCAGCCTAAATGAAACCAGAGCAGAGCTAATTCTTAACCCCTCCATCTTACAGTGACTATGGGACAAATTGTCAGCTTTAATTGACCCTACTAATTGGATCCTCACTGGTATTGGCATAGTTTTTCTTGTTTTAGTATATGTTATTTTAAGATTTTTCCAAAAAAGGCTCAACAAAGTAAAAACAAAACAAGCTATGTTAGTTCATGCATGTAAGGAAAGTCAAAAGGAAAATAATGATTCCCCCACATCTGTATGGATGGCGGCTATGGACAGGATCTAAGTAGTACCAACTAAGGGCCAGTTCTCTATAAGGGATCATGCCCTGAGTCTTAGCACTGCTCTCCTCTTCATCTATCTGTGTCTCTCAGCTCTGTGACTATATTACTGTTTGTCTGTCCATAGCCTTTTTTCTTCCTTCCTGAATGCAGCCTCACCAGCCCAGTGCTGTGAGCTGGGCTCTCCATGGAGAAGAATTTCCTGCTCCTAAGGTAAATGCTGGTGTGGAGGCCACAGGGGCATTATCTATCCAGGAGACAGACACAAAGCCCTCATGGGGACAATATCTTGCACATTCCACATCACCCTGTTTGGCCCCAGAGGATGGCTGGTTAGTCAATGACGGGTAAGATTCCTCAAGGGAGGAACAACCTAAAACAAGCACAGCCACAGAGGGACCATCAGGAGAAAACTTGGGGGCCAAAAAATGTGAGGTACAGAAGCTCACCCCCCACCTGTGCAAAGGCCTAATTCTTTACCCCTTTTGAGAGAGGTCTCCTGCCCCCATGTCAAGCTCAAATCAGGACCCAAGTGACAGACAGAGACCTAGTCAGCAGCAGCTGCCCTCTCACCATAGCAGGAAACAACTGCAGCCACAGAAATGGGCCATGTTTGCATCTTTCCCCTTTTCTCTTCCTTGGTTCTTTCCCCTTTTTCTATGCTTTTCCCTCTTCCTTTCTTCTGTCATCATGGTTCTCCTTCAGCAGCAAATTTAATAAAAATGGAGGAAATGTTGGAATGGCTTTCAGTTTACAGCTAGAAGCTAGCAGCCATGAGCAGCTCGGAGTGCTTGAAGAATCTACACTTGTTCAGGCCTAATAGGAACACCTGTTCCTGATAGGAACAGGATGGGATGCTCTAGCGAGCTGTTAGTGAGACCACATCCTTAGCACTTGTGGTTAGTGTTGCCAAGCTGCCAGGCCAGGAAACTGATAGCTAGGAGCTTCAACATGGAACTTCTAACTTAGAAACCCCCTCCGCTAGGGAGAAAGACCCTTCCTGATGATAGCAATATTTAGAACATCCTCATAGTGTGGTTACATTAGGCAGAAGATGATTGGCTTATGGATACTCATGTATGATTCATGGCATGCCCACTTGAACCCTATAACAATTGTATGCATTCCAAAAATAAACTGGGCTGCTGGATGATGACCTGAGGCAGGTCTCCAGCCAGTTCTCTCACCAGCTCCTGGAGTCTGTGTGTTGATTCCGCATCTCTACCCCCCACGACAAGGGAGCCGAGCAACTAGTTGACCAGAACCACAGCATACGGACAAGCATATTTCCACATGCAGAATAGCATTAGTACTTCCCATCACATTCTATACATATCGACTCAACTATATTAAAGACTTCAACATAAGGCTGGATAATGTAAGACTAGAGCACAGCAAATTCCACTCTCATCACTTCTACCTCCCAGAGTACTCACTTCACAAGAAAGAGGTATCAGAAAAGAAAAAGAAATACAAGTTATTCCAATCAAAAAGGAAGATGTAAAATGATCTCTATTTGCAGATAACATAATTTATATGTCAAATACTTCAAAGGTATCACAAAAAATTAGAAATAATAAATAAGTTCAAGAAAATTCATTATATAAAATCAACATACAATGGTGAAATGAGATGGACATCATTACCCTAGGTATTTGTATGAAGACACAAATAGTGTGACTCTACTTTGTTTACAACCAGAGAAATGAAAAATTGTGCTCCATTTGTATACTATGAACTGAAATGCATTCTGCTGTCATGTATAACAAATTAGAACAAACAATTAATTTTTAAAAACTAGGAAAAAAATCAACATACAAAAGTCAGTAGTACTTGTCTGCACAAATAATTACCTAGGTGAAAAAGAAATCAGGAGAATGATGGCATTTATGATTGCATAAAAATAACTGTAGAAATCAAATAAGCAAGGAAGTGAGAGATCTGTACACTCAAAACTGAGCATTGGTGAAAATAAATTAAAGAAGGCATGAATAAATAGAAATATACCATATGTTCATAGATGGGAAGAAATTATATGGTTAAGCCATAGCAATCTAGAGTATAACACTGGCACAAACTAGGAACATAAATAAATGGAACAGATAGCTAAGAAATCATTCAAATATATGTGGCCAGGTAGAAAG